AATGAGACAAAAAAGGAACTCTTTTTTTCCTATGTAAATGGTTAGTCCAATTTTTTACCCTATTTTTTAAACTGGTCATGACTGGGAGAGATTAATAACAGAATGATGAGGACAGAGGGGTGCCATTGCCAGTCACATCCACTTAGCTGGACAGGAACATATCAGTGGAGACCAGCATCACAAGATAAGAGGTAGCTGCATTAAAAAGGACATTAACACCGCCCTGACCAGGTAACTCAGTTGGTTAGAGATTCGTCCTAATAGGCCAAGACTGCTGCTTCAATCCCTGGTCAGGGAACATACAAGAATCAACCAATAAATGAAGTAAGTGGCACAACAAATCCATCTCTCTTTCTCTCTCTAAAAATCAATAAATAAAAAGGACATGAATACAAAATGCTAAAAGGAAATAGTTTTATAAACCAAATCAACTTCAAACTATAGATTAAATTAATAATATAATAAAGATCTTAATAAATCAAGCATTTCTACCGTAAAAACTTCAAAACACAGAGCCATAAAACAAAGTTCTTAAAAACTAATTCTGATCCATTATTTGCTTCCTAAAAAGAAAGTTTCATTAAAAAAAATTATTATTCTTTGTTTCTTTAAATGTTCAATGTGAAATAATTAGATTTATAGGAAGTCCCATGCAGTTTCCTCCAGGGACCAATGTTAACATCTTACACAACTATAGCATAATATCCAGAGTCGGAAGTTGACATTGATGCAATCCACAGCTTAGTCAGATCTCATCAGTTACACATGCACTTATGTGTGTGTGGTATGTCTGTGTCTATAGATCTGTAATTTAATTACCTGTGTGGCCTTTGAAAGGTAAACACCACTAGGATCAAAATACTCAACTATATCATCACAAGATTCCTCCTTAACCCCTTTACCACCACTATTCTTTTCTACAAAAAAGGTCAATCTATTGTCCTATTTTAGCCACTGTAACCAAAATAAATACTTTTGCTATTCAGGAGTAGAAAATAACCTTGTGTGAGTTTTCTTCTGTCTGCAAGTCCTAAAGTGAATCCAAGGTTAAGAAAAGCAAACAAGTCAAGAGTAGGGAAGGTGAAAGGCAGCTCTGATGATGGTGTTATCTGACTACCAACAAGAAGTGGGTAATGGGGATACATTTGCAGTGAGTTCTATA